ATGCCACATTCATTATGCCATTTTTCTTTCCATAACCTCGAAGGGCTTGTCACTGCTCCTCAGTTTGTGGTTGGTGATCCTCCAAATCACCAGCCTCTCGTTCCAATGTTACCTTCTGCCACTCTCCAGCCCTTCGCTCTAGTGGCCCCCCTGCCTGCCATCCCTCTTTCTATGAACAGTCCACTGTCACACCTGCTTCAAATGCTATGGCTCACACCCTTCCCCACGCCTGAAATACTGTTGATCTTCTGTTTCTTCAAGGCCCATCTCTTCTGCGAAACTTCTCTGACCACTCCTACACAGCTGGGCTCCTCTGTCTTCCCCAGTTTCTGCTGAATTGTGGGTCGTGCCTTACCAATGCAGTCTTCATTGTGTTTCTGCTTGTTTCATGAATGTGCATCTTGTCTCTTCTAACTGAAGGGCGAGGATCCCAGATCAAGGGTGTGGTTGACCCTTGGTATGACTCATGTTCTAAGCCCGAACAGTTCGAAGGGGTCTGATTAATGCAGTGTAGGTGACGACATGTCAACAAAAAGTGGTCTATGCTCTAAGCTTCTTACTATAAAACCAGGGAAACCCTAGGCTCAAGTACCTCCCTCTCCCAGCAGGATCCTGGGTGTTCATTCTTGCTTCTAGAAGCATGTCAGATCAAGTTCTCCAGGACCTTCCCTGCTGTGCTCTGTCTCTGCTACTGTGGGCTGCAGGCCTTACTGCAATAGGTCTTTGAGATCCATCAGTGCTCTGTAGGCATCGTTCACCTTTCTTTTCTACGGATTGTTCATTTCCATGTGATTTGCATTCTTCTCACTCATTGTGGTACAAACCATCCTGTTTGCCAAGAGATGCCTGTTGGGATGTGATTAATTGGAGTTTACACCCCCACAGAATTCCAGCCTCCTGGTACTTAGCTGGTGTCTTTGGTTTAAGTTGGTCCATGCGGACTCTTCCCCACCCCCCATATAGAGCAATGTCTGGGAGGTGATGTTCATTTCTCTCTGTGTTTGAGAATCTTCGGAGTTGACTGTAAGCTCTGTCCAGCTGGGAAACCTCGGAGGAAATCTCTGTGACATGCTTGGACATCCCTTAGTTCCGCTAACTAGCAGAACGACTGTTCTCATGGGACCCTTGCTGGCTGTCATCTGCCGCAATGTTTACATGTTGATGTTTTTTCTCTTTTCTTTTCCCAACCACATATTTTAAGACTCTGGAATCTCCTTTATTCCTACTGGGAAGGCTTCAAACTCAACCTTTTAACAGTTAAGTAGCGGCAGGATGAGTACTGGCAAATAGTAGAGGCAGTGCACTTAATAGTAGAGGCAGTATTGGCAAGATTAGATGTACTTACTACACTAGTCATTTAGATGGTTTCTCTGGCCATATTATGTCTAGACGTCTTTCTTGTCATCTTGTATTTTTCTACCCTTCTTGCATTTTTCACTGAAATGCACCTCAAAATGCAGGTTCTCCAATAGCTTAGTGCGAACTGAAGGAATTTCAAAAACCAACCCTAAGAAAGGCCAAAGTATTTCAGAGGAAGGAAGAATTTGCATGGTGAAATCTACTAAAAATGGATATCTTGGGGTCTTCCAAATTACACTTAAAAATTGTTCGTGCTCATTAATTTTTGAGGAAACAAATGCAACCTTGACCTTTTAAAAATCTATGGTAGATTTGCAATGAGGCGATGAAATGTGTTATTCTATAAAGTCAGCAGCAGTTCTTCATCTAGATGTTTCTATCAAGTAAAAGCTGTATTGCTTTTTGTGAGAGGATCACAGAAATAAAAAACATCGCCAGACTAGCTAATCCAGACACACAGAATGGAGAGAGAGAGAAAAAAGAACTATTTAAAAAAGGGATTGAGTCCATATGACAACCTTCTTCTATGAAGACTTTGGCCCATGGGGCTCTATATCCGGTCGCTCACTGTTATAAAATTGTACAATATGAAAGAAGCAGCCAGGGCCAGAGGGAGCGGAGAAGGGGGCTGGGCAACTTCCTTTTACAAACACAAGACCTCTTCCTTGGAATGGAAGAGAGAAAGCCGGAAGCTGAACTCGGGGGTTCGAGGGCTTGCAATAGGCCAGCTGAAACTTTGTAAACATTTAGCATAAAACTCATTTTTAATCTCATAACTTAATTTTTCCCCTAGCATATGGGATGCATAAAAGAATAAACTTAGTAAATTGAGCTTACTTGTGCTTTATAAAAAAGAAATTGAATTGCTCTAATGGCAGTTGCAGCTGGCTCTCGCTCGGACAAACCGTGTAAATCAGTTTTTAGTGCTTGATTTAGGAAAACACTGGGCGCAAACGGCTTGGAAACAGCTCGAAGCAGGTTTTCCGTAAGGCCGTTATGTAACCTTTGTGTGCGATGCCTTTAAAATACGTGAAGAAGAGAAACCCTGATGGAGCTATCTTATAATGATCTTTTCTCCTCATATTTAAAGCTGCATAGACTTGCCACTCATTATACGTGAGCTAGCACAAATGGATTCTAATAGGCTGTGAATTTAAATGTACGTGTAATGGCCATTAAAAGAAACAGAGTAGAGTACTGATAATGAAATTAGAAGGTCATAGCGGAGTTGGACAATTGTCTGGTTACTCGAAGTGATCGTGACAGCTTGTTGGGATTCTGCCCTTCTCTCAGCCGTCTGCCACCCTCCCACACATCGAAGAGCCTCAAGAAATCATATTCTGTTCAGCAAAGGTGGCACGTGCTCGGCTTACAATTTTTGCTAAAAATAGGGAGAAAAATCTTGTTTCTGATGAACAGGATGAAATATCCAACGGCTCTTGAAATGATGCACAAATAACTGTGAAGATTATAGTCCTCGTGTATCCAATTTCTTTATTTATTTTATTTATTTATTTATTTTTTTTGAGACAGAGTCTCACTTTGTTGCCCAGGCTAGAGTGAGTGCCATGGCGTCAGCCTAGCTCACAGCAACCTCAAACTCCTGGCTCAAGCGATCCTCCTGCCTCAGCCTCCCAGTAGCTGGACTACAGGCATTCACCACCATGCCCAGCTAATTTTGTATTATATAGTTGGCCAATTAATTTCTTTATTTATAGTAGAGACGGGGTCTTGCTCTTGCTCAGGCTGGTTTCGAACTCCTGACCTCGAGCAATCCACCCGCCTCGGCCTCCCAGAGAGCTAGGATTACAGGTGTGAGCCACCGCGCCTGGCCTCAAAATATTTCTTAATGACCTGCACTTAGTGGGGATGTTTATTGTTTTGGTGGTCGTTATTTTTCCAATCATTAGATAGTCACTGGTAGACAACATGAAGAGTTGGCCTCTTATAGCATTCTTTTTCTTTTTTCTTTTTCTTGAGACAGAGTCTCACTTTGTTGCCCAGGCTAGAGTGAGTACTGTGGCGTACTCACTCAGCCTAGCTCACAGCAACCTCAAACTCCTGGGCTCAAGCAAACCTCCTGCCTCAGCCTCCCAAGTAGCTGGGACTACAGCATGCGCCACCATGCCGGCTAATTTTTCTATATATATTAGTTGGTCAATTAATTCTTTCTATTTATAGTAGAGACGGGGTCTCGCTCTTGCTCAGGCTGGTTTCGAACTCCTGACCTCGAGCAATCCGCCCGCCTCGGCCTCCCAGCGTGCTAGGAATACAGGTGTGAGCCACCGCACCATTCTTGCTAAAGGAAGCTTTTAAAATAATTCTGGCTAGGATGTTCAGTGTGAACCCTGGAAACAACTTTGATTAGGATAAATTAATGCCTATTTCTTTGTCCCTTAAATGTCTTCCAATATCTCAGGCTTATTTTTAGCTGACTGTCAACCAAACCTGCATTAGGCATTAACTGGTAAGTATTAAGGCACTCTGTTTCTTAGGGGTATTTCTTATTTAATTAAATTAATTAATTAATTACTTTCATTTATTTAGTTTTTTTGAGACAGTCTTGCTTTGTTGCCCAGGCTAGAGTGAGTGCCGTGGCGTCAGCCTAGCTCACAGCAACCTCAAACTTCTGGACTCAACAATTCTCCTGCCTCAGCCTCCCAAGTACTGGGACTACGGCATGCGCCACATGCCTGCTAATTTTTGTAAATATATTAGTTGGCCAATTAATTTCTTTCTATTTATGGTAGAGACAGGGTCTCAGTCAAGCTGGTTTCGAACTCCTGACCTTGAGCAATCCGCCCGCCTCAGCCTCTCAGAGTGCTAGGATTACAGGTAAATTCAATTTTATTTTATTTTATTTTATTTTTTTTTGAGACAGAGTCTCGCTTTGTTGTCCAGGCTAGAGTGAGTGCCGTGGCGTCAGCCTAGCTCACAGCAACCTCAAACTCCTGGGCTCGAGCGATCCTTCTGCCTCAGCCTCCTGAGTGCTGGACTACAGGCATGCGCCACCATGCCCGGCTAATTTTTTTTATATATATATCAGTTGGCCAATTAATTTCTTTCTATTTATAGTAGAGACGGGGTCTCGCTCTTGCTCAGGCTGGTTTTGAACTCCTGACCTTGAGCAATCCGCCCGCCTCGGCCTCCCAAGAGCTAGGATTACAGGCGTGAGCCACCGCGCCCGGCCTAGGTAAATTCAATTTGAAATAAAAACTTTACATGCATATAGTTTAAAAAGTCAAAATGGTAGTGAAAGATCTATTATAAAATTTAGCCATCTCCTGACTCACCCCTTCTTACTTCCCTCCGCCTCCCTCCCCAAAGGCAGCTGCTTTCAACTCTTTTACGTTCCTTCTGGCACTTACACGTCTGCAAATTTCTAAAAACTGCGCATATATTACTGTCTCCAGAACTGTCCATCCTGGGCATTGTCTATCCAGTGCTTCTCTCGGAAGGTATAACTAGCTCTCCCCACTATTGTCATTTTGCTGCTGCTTTCACAGCTCCCCAATGTATCTATTATAATTTTGATTAAATCAGTGTTGCAGTCATTCTGATATTTTTAATAACTGAGCATTGTATTGTACTATAGTTATTTTTCTTTCCTTCCCTTCTGTTTTACTTAAAGTTAGTAATGCCTGTTTTTTAAATTTGCTTAGTTTTCTTTGTATATATTTTTAATTATTTCCATCTCCTCGAATGGCCTTTTTGAATAAACATTGCATAAAGCCAATCACAATAGCCAACCTATCAGTTCTTGTGTATATTTTTTGAGAAAATGCCCTTGAGACCTTTTTTCTTCCCTCCAGGCTGGCTGGATAGTGCTGTTTTTGGATTAGTTTTGTACTTATTCCAGGCCTGGGTGGGCTTTCTGAACTTGTATGTTCTTCTTTCTTCTTCTTCTTCTTCTTTTTTTTATTGGAGAACATCCTCTAGAGGTTTCCTGTAGGTTAAAAGATGTTACAGTAGTGGGACTACAAACTAGTGCAACCTCTATGGAAAGTAATATGGAGATATCTCAAAGAACTAAAAGTAGAACTACCATGTGATCCAGCAATCTCATTATTGGGTATTTACCCAAAGGAAAAAAAAGACATTCTATAGAAAAGACATCTGCACTAGAATGTTTACCATAGCACAATTCACAATTGCAAAGATATGGAAACAGCCCAAGTGCTCATCAATACATGAGTGGATTAATAAAATTTAGTATATATGTATATCATGGAGTTCCACTCAGCCATAAAAAATGCTAAACTAATACCTCTTGTATTAACCTGATGGACTTGGAGACCATACTTCCAAGTGAAGTATTGTAAGAATGGAAAAATGAGCACCACATGTACTCACCAATAAATTGGAACTAATAGATCAACACTTATGTCCACATATGGAAAATAACATTCATTGGAAATCAAGCAGGTGGGAGGAGGGGATGGGGATATTCACACCTAATGGGTACAATATCTGGGTGATTCGGCACACGTATAACTTTGACTCAAACAGTACAAGAGCAATTTATATCACCAAAACATTTGTACCCTGTGATATTTTGAAATTAAAAAAAAAATAGAAGGGAAAAAAAGATGTTATATTAGCAGAAGAAATAAAGATGACAGTCACTTCATGCCAGTCTTATGAATGACACTATTTCATTGATTTTCCCTACCTGGTGCCCAGTTATGATTAGGAAACTCTCTTCTTCCTCCTCTTGAAAATTCCCCCCTTTTCCTCTCCTGTTTTAAATCTCCTCTTCCTTCTGTCCTCTATAATCTTTCTTAGTTTACCTCCCCACTCTGGTGAGGGCATCTTCAGTAGCTTCCTAAAAAAGGGTGGGGGGAAAAGCACATTTTTTGAGACCTTGCATTTCTAAAAGTGTTTGAATTTCACCTCACCTGCAATTCATGTCTTAGTATTGAATTTAAGTTGGAAGAGATTTTTCTGCACAATTTGGAGGGCATTGCTCCATTGTCTTCTAGATTCCAATGTCGAGAAGTACAAAGCCATTCTGAATCCTGCTACTTTAAATGTGATCAGTTTTTTTTTTCTTTGCTTTCTAACTTGCAGAAGCTTTTCTTTATCTGTAATTATGAGCCTTTGGGTGAGTCTATTTTCTTCCACTGTACTGGTTACCCAGTGGGTCTTTAAAGGGGAAACTGATGGCTTTTAGTTCTAAGAAATGCTGCTTATGATCTCCTACCCCGTTTTCTTGATTCTGATAATCCTATAATTCTGATGTTGAACTTCCTGGACCTGTGTTTTAATTTTCTTATTTCTCTGGTCTCATCCTTCTCTTTAGCTTTCCCTCTATTTTCTAGGTTTTCTTCTAACCTTTATCTTAAAATTTTCATATCTGTCATCTTGCTTTGAATTTCCAAGAACACTTTTTGTTCTCTGACTGTTCCTTTATGGAGGAGTCTGTTCTTGTTTCATGCATACATTATCTTTTCTTGTGCCTCTGAGGATACTACCGGTAGTTGCAGTTTTTGTTTTTAAAGCATTCTTCTTCTTGTATTGTTTCAGTTTCCTTCAAGTTGCTTTTTCCTTTTTGTTCTGTTATCTCTCTTTCATGTAGAGGGTTTTCTCACACTTGGGGTAGCGCTTGGTTCTCTGCTCATGATCAAGATTAAGGGACTAAAACACGGATTGGAGTTTCTGCAAACGTGGTTGTACTTGCCAACTTTGAGCTTCACAAAGTGAGATCATCTTCACTTGGGTCATTTGTTCAGGGAGTTCTAAGAGTCAGTATGTTGAAATCTTTTTCTTTTTCTCACTATTTTGCTAGACTTAACAAATGTTTCTTTTTTCTTTTGGCTAAAATTTCAGGATCTACATAGTAGCGTATACTGCAGTGTCTTCTTATAATGCTCTGCCTTTCAATAACTTTTGTTGTTGAGTAAGACATTTGTGCATCTTGTTGCTTTTGTCTTTCGCTGACCTTGTAAGCTACTTAACTATAAAATGTGGCTTATTACATGTGCCTCTTGGCATTATATTCTTTCTGAAAAGATATTTTTTTTCCATTGCAAATAAGACAAACAACAATGTCTTTAAAACAAAAGAAGAATTTCCCAGTCTCCTCAATTGGCAACACATGATTTTCATCAGCCGCTTTTCTTTTCTTGACAGTAGCCATTTGGAAAATGACAGACTCAACTCACACCATCCCCATCCATTCTCCCCACCATCTGCCTTCTCTCCAAGCCAACAGAGATGCATCTCTACCTGCAAGGCAAATCCAATCGATGATTATCCTCCAACTGGCAGACCCTGCTAGTGGCACATCCATCATCACATGAGCTACCGATGTCATAGGGTGTAACAAAGCTGAGGGAGGTGCCTTGTCTGCTAAATGAGATTTCTGATATTAGAACTTGGGCCGCCCTTCCTTCCTGAGCCCCCCTGTCCTCATTTCTAAAAGAGGGGGAATAATAACCTCAATTTGCAGCATGGTCATGAGCATTACATGGAATGATTAGGTTGGAGGCTTCTCATCACTGCTTTAGGGCAATTTCAGCACCTGGGGCTTTTCAAGGAGCTTTCTAGAGCCCTGAAACATGCTTCCTCCACAGAGGGGTGCAGCACTCACTGTGCCCTAAGATAAGAACACAAGGGTGACTTGTCTCAACAATTACTCACTGCGAGGTATTTCCTTATGAGGTTGTTTTTGTTACTCCTCAAAATATTGTTGCAGAAAAGAAAGTCAGGTAATGAGAAATAATTGCATTTAATTCCTAGTGCTGTTTAAGAGGCCAGGGCTGGCAAACTGCCACGCTCATTCTAGTCCCTCTATTTGACCAAGGATTCTGTCAGATGGACTCCAGTGAATGGCTTTACGGTAGTACATGCTACGCATGCTCTGATTACCCATCAAGCCTGTCAATTCCATGGGAAAAGCAGGCCCAGTCTAGGAGAATGGTGCCATAGTGTGAAAAGCCCGTGGATTCTAAAACCAGATTGGCCTGGATTAGAGTTCTCTATCTGTCCCTTACCTGTCCGACCTTGGGTGAGTCTCCTGGACTATTGGGATTGCAATTTCTTTATCTGTAAAAACGAAGTTGATAATACTGCAGTGTTGATGTGAGTATCTAAGGAAATTAGGATCATACAGTACCTGGTACATAATTGGTGCTCAATAAATATTAATTAGTTCCTTTTTCCTACATTCTGTTATAAATGTTTTTTGTTTGATATTTATTTTTTATAGTATATTAAATATACTTGAATATGTATATTCATTACCAAATAATAACAAATAGTTTTTGATAATATTCTGAATTTCATTATGAGCATTCCATATATGGGCCTCAGTTAATCTTTCGAGCACGGTGCAGGTTGCAGGGTTCCATGGGGAACCACGATTGTATCTCAGACATGTTGTTGTTGGCCCCGAGATGAGCGCTGTGGGGACAGGTGGCCTCGGGCTCTCTTCCTTGTCTGCCGCTGCCATTTCTCAGTGTCCACAAAAGTCACTGCTATAACGACAGGGCATCTTTCATCTTTCCCACAAATCACCTTTTCCTACCCTGCAGTGAGCTGGGCACGAAGGACAGAAATACTATGATCGTATTAGTTACAAGTGCATGCAGGTTGAGTTCTCTCTCCCAGATACTATTCGTGTACTTAGTTTGTTGGTCAAAATGAACTTGATGGTGCTTCCTGTAGCTCCTCTTGTGTCATTCCGTCTCCATGCATAGGTGTTTGTATTGTCTGCTATTCTTCCTCTCCGTGCCTTTGCCCCTAACTTCATGTATTCATCCCCATGCTTTTAGGAGGAGGATGGAGGAGTGGATTTTAATCAGTTTGGCGCTTGTGAGAAACCAGTTTGTATTGAATGTCTAGTTACTTGATATTTTAAATGAGATGTTTTATTAAAATCCAGTTATGTCGCGCAGATAGGATCCATGCTAGTGGCGGAAACTCCAGCCAGCTGGCCACGCGTTTATCTGATAGAACCAGGGCAGATGGGCAGTATATTTATTAGGATCGCGTTAAATTGCAATTTGAATTTTTAAAAGCAGACCCCTAAACATATCAATATATTTATTAAGATTATATTAAATTATAATTTGAATTTTTGAATAGACCCCTAAATACATTCTTCTTAATGTCTGTTAAAGATCTCTGCCACACCTTTAAAAAATTTATTTATTTATTTTTGTTCTTTTTAAAAATTTATTTATTTATTTTATTTCAGCATATTGTGGGGGTACAAGTGTTAAGGTTACATATATTGTCCATGTCCCCCCACCCCTCTCAAAAAATTTATTTTAATCATAGGGCATTTGGGAGAGAGAATTATTTCAGTTTCCCCCCACCTCTGTCTTTATTGAGGTATAATTAACAAATAAAAATTGTATATATTTAAGATGCACAAGTTGATGTTTTTGTATACATACACATAGTTAACAATATCGTATTATACACTTGAAATTTGCTAAGAGGGTAGATCTTAAGTGTTCCCATCACACACACACACACACACACACACACACACACACACACACAAACGTATGCACACACAAAGAAAAAAGGAAACAAGGCAAAAAAAATGACAATTATGTGAAGTTCATGGATTTTTTAAAGGATAGAAACAGGGTGGTCATAAAAAGGCCATGAAAAATGCCACTCTGTGTGTGTACGTGTGTGTGTGAGTGTGTGTGTGTGTTGTGTGTCCAGCCCTGTGTGGGTTGCTTTTCCAAACAGCGCTAGACTTTGAGCAGGCCTTGGAGGGAACAGGGTCTGCAAGGACTCGCGGAAGGAAAGTGCTCGATCTCTGCCTGGCCCTTTCTAAAGGGGCCCCACCTATAGGCAGACGGAGGCCTCATGATCACCCCTTGTGTGCAGTTCTCAGTAACTCTCCAGGAAGAGACTGTTGCTGACTTCTTTTTTAAAAATTTTAATTTATTTTTTTTTCAGCATATGACTTCATTTGGTATAATTTTTTCAAGTTTCATTCATGTTGTATAGCTTTATATTTTTATAATTAGATCTTTAATCCATCTGAAATTTGTTGATTTATACCAATTGGGTAAGTTATATGTAAAGTTATCTTTTAGAAATGTTGGCCTGTTGTACCATACTATTTATTGAGTGTTCAGTCCATCCTTTTCCCACTAATCTGAAATGTCTCCATCATCCACATGTATGGATCTGTGTCTGCACCCTATTTCTTTATTCTTGAGTCTCCGTCACACTGACTTAAGGATTCTATCTTTATAACACAGTCTATCTATTAGGGTGTCTTCCCTCATTTTTCTCTTCCTAAAATTTTCTGGTTCTTCTTTCATGTTTTCTCTTCCATTTTAATTTTAAAATTGACTTGTCAATTTTCCTCAAAATATTGTTTACATTTTGCTTGGAACTTCATTGCCATTAGGGATTAATTTTTGAAGAAATGTTGTCTTTATAATACTGGGATTTTCTGTATTTTTATTGGCTTTATAATTATATTTTTGATTTACTAGAGGGAGGCTAGACATTCCATCTGGAATTAGCTTTTTTTTTTTTTTTTTTTTTTCTTTTGCATCATCACCACTATGGAATTAGCTTTTTAATTGTTATTGATGTGTAGGAAAATCATTTATTGAGGTAGAAACTGCAGAGGGAGGAGTAGAGTTTGACAAAAAGATAATGAGATCTGCTTAGATAGTAATATATTCTGCCTCAGATGCTTATGAGAAATGAAGATAGAGATGTACACAGAACATAATGCACCATGAAATTTGGTGACTTTTTGGAATGGCAATAGGATATGTGGTGCATGGTCCATAAAGTCTTTTGAAGGAGAATATGATATTTGGGTCCCAAATATGTGGAACT